TAAATATTCTGTGTGTGTGACAGATCTAAGATATTCTCTGAGTTTTACAGATTTTAGATAAGTATTCTGTGTGTGACATATCTTTGATAAATATTCTGTGTGTGTGACAGATCTAAGATAAATATTCTCTGTGCGTGACAGATCTTAGATAAATATTCTGTGTGCGATAGATCTAAGAAAAATATTCTGCGTGTGTGACAGATCTTAGATAAATATTCTGTCTGTGTGTGACATATCTTTGATAAATAATCTGTGTATGTGACAGATCTAAGATAAATATTATCTGTGTGTGACAGATCTTAGATAAATATTCTGTGTGTATGACACATTTAAGGTAAATATTATCTGTGTGTGAAAAATCTTAGATAAATAGTCTCTGTGTGTGACACGTTTTGGATAAATATTCTCTGTGTGTTACAAATTTAAGATAAATATTCTGTGTGTGTGTGACAAATCTTAGATAAATAGTGTCTGTGTGTGACAATTTTTTGTTAAATATTATCTGTGTGTGACACGTTTTAGATAAATATTCTCTGTGTGTTACAGTTTTAAGATACGTATTATCTGTGAGTTACAGATTTAAGATACGTATTCTCTGTGTGTTACAGATTAAAGATACGTATTCTCTGTGTATTACAGATCGTGGATACATTCAACCTATTATTGTATTGTGAACACCCCTGTAAGATACGTATTCTCTGTGTGTTACAGATTTAAGATACGTATTCTCTGCGTGTTACAGATCGTGGATACATTCAATCTATTATTGTATTGTGAACACTCCTGTAAGTGACGTATTCTCGGTGTGTAACAGATCGAGGATACATTCAATCTATTATTGTATTGTGAACACCCCTGTAAGTGACGTATTCTCTGTGTGTAACAGATCGTGGATACATTCAATCTATTATTGTATTGTGAACACCCCTGTAAGTGACGTATTCTTTGTGTGTAACAGATCGTGGATACATTCAACCTATTATTGTATTGTGAATACCCCTGTAAGTGACAGATTTAAGATACGTATTCTCTGTGTGTTACAGATTTAAGATACGTATTATCTGTGTGTTACAGATTTAAGATACGTATTCTCTGTGTATTACAGATCTTGGATGCATTCGATTTATCATTGTGTTGTGAACACCCCTGTAAGTAACAGATAATTTTGATTACACTAACCTGCGTGACAGATAACACCAGCATCCTCAGAGTGATCGCAGTCATGGACACCGAATCCCCCGTACACACACTGGGCGATATTCTGCTCATTCCCAACGCACTCGACATCATCCATCAAAATACTTCCATTGCCACGCCCAAAGTAGGCATTCCCAACACCTTTAGCTGTCCCGCTGCAAGTATTGCGAATATGGCAGAAGTATTATACATTTGAAGTGATGCCATCAAAATAAAAATGATTTTTCGAATTTTCATATAGTTTTTGTGTGTTTTAACATATATGAGTAATATTCAGTCACCTTATTACATAGAACACGTTTAATTATAACCTGATGTACACACAACGATGACTCTATGTTATTATATCATTAACTAGGAACAATAATACGGTTGTTAACACAGCAACTACGTTAATACTAATGTCAGCATATTAAGGAATATACATTCGGCCTATACATGTTAGCTTATTAAGGAAGGCATATTTGGCGTATTATTGTCAGAATATTTAGGAATGTACATCCGGCTTATAAATGTAAGCATATTAAGGAATGTACATTTGGTCTATTAATGTGAGCATAATAAGGAAGGCATATTTGGCGTATTATTGTCAGCATTTTAAGGAATGTACATTTGGTATATTAATGTGAGCATATTAAGGAAGGTACATTTTGCCTAAATATGTGAGCATATTAAGGAAGGAAAATTTGGCCTATTAATGTTGACAAATCAAGGAAGGATAAGTTGACCTATTAATTTGAGCATATTAATGAAGGTACATTTTGCCTAAATATGTGAGCATATTAAGTCAGGCATATTTGGCGTAATATTGTCAGCATATTTAGGAATGTACATTCGTCCTATAAGTTTTAGCTTATTTAGGTATTTACATTTGGCCTATTAATGTGAGCATATTAAGGAAGGTACATTTGGCCAATTGATATAAGTATGTTAAGGAAGGTAAAATTGGCCAATTGATGTGAGCGTATAAAGGAAGGTACATTTGGCCAATTGATATAAGTATGTTAGGGAAGGTAAAATTGGCCAATTGATGTGAGCATATAAAGGAAGGTACATTTGGCCTATTGATTTAAGCATATTAAGGAATGTACATTTGGCCTATTCATGTTAACATATAAAGGAATGTACATTTCGCCTATTGATTTAAGCATATTAAGGAATGTACATTTGGCCTATTCATGTTAACATATAAAGGAATGTACATTTCGCCTATTGATTTAAGCATATTAAGGAATGTACATTTGGCCTATTCATGTTAACATATAAAGGAATGTACATTTCGCCTATTGATTTAAGCATATTAAGGAATGTACATTTGGCCTATTCATGTTAACATATAAAGGAATGTACATTTCGCCTATTGATTTAAGCATATTAAGGAATGTACATTTGGCCTATTCATGTTAACATATAAAGGAATGTACATTTCGCCTATTGATTTAAGCATATTAAGGAATGTACATTTGGCCTATTGATGTGAGCATAATAAGTCAGGCACATTTGGCGTAATATTGTCAGCATATTTAGGAAGGTACATTCGGCCTATAAGTTTTAGCTTATTAAGGTATTTACATTTGGTCTATTAATTTGAGCATATTAAGGAAGGTACATTTTGCCTTAATATGTGAGCATATTAAGGAAGGAAAATTTGGCCTATTAATGTTGACAAATCAAGGAAGGAACATTTGGCCTATTGATTTGAGCATATTAAGGCAGTGATTTTTCCACTTCCTCTCCACAGGGTCTGTGTCTGTTGATTTGGGAAAATACCATCTACAAAAATCATGATTTTGGGAAATCAAGTGACTATTTGCATTTATTTTGGAAAAAAACAGCGAAAGCCAGCTGGAGGAGGGGCCTTCATGAGGCCCCAAATTAACCTTAAAAATCACTGCTTGAAGGAAGGTACATTTTGTCTGTTAATGTGAGCATATTTATGAATGTACATTTGGCGTATTAATGTGATCATATCAAGGAAGGTACATTTTGCCAATTAATGTGAGCATATTAAGGAAGGTAATTTTGGAGTATTATTGTCAGCATATTAAGGAAGGTACATTGAGTCTATTGATGTGAGCATATTAAGGAAGGTAATTTTGGAGTATTATTTTCAACATATTGAGGAAGGTACATTTGACCTTAACGAGAAATAAGTAAAACCGTTAAGTGGTATACATATTAGTTATTTTTCTATATTGATTGCTACGATTGTAATAAAACGAGAGAGCGAGGTACAAAAAAAGAACGAAACAATGGCTGCTTATATAAGAAACGACGGCCACAAATAAATGATACATGAGCTACAAATATCAGATACGGTGGCTACACATATACAAGGGTCACAAATATATCTTTTAATGTCTACAACTAGAGATACAGAATCACAAATATAGATACAGGGGCTTCAACTATAGATACAGGGGTCACAAATATAGATATAAGGGCTTTAAATATAGATACAAGGGTCACAAATATATCTTATAGTGGCTACAACTTTAGATACAAGGGTCACAAATATAGATATAAGGGCTTCAAATATAGATACAGGGGTCACAAATATAGATATAAGGGCTTTAAATATAGATACAAGGGTCATAAATATATCTTATAATGTCTACAACTAGAGATACAGAATCAAATATATAGATACAGTGGCTTCAAATATGAATACAAGGGTCACACATATAGAAACAGGTCTTCAACTACAGATGCAGGGGTTACATACATAAGATACTTAGACAACACAAATAAGACACGGGTGCTAGACATATCAGCTTCTGGAACTACAGATACAGAGCTAGTTGTACATACGTAACTTTCACGGTAGAGTTGGCATAATGCTATGTGTATAAAACTTACTTTGTAAAACCAAGCATACTACATACAACGCCGGCGTCAACTTCGTCCCAGAGGTCATCACAAACCGTGCCCCATTGGCCGTTCACCTGGACCTCTACACGTCCCTCGTCCGCGCTTTGTCCGTTCACTAGTCGCACATTGACTGTTGGCACCTTGTCTGTTCAGACAAAACATAAGGAAACATAAATCAGCTACACTGCACGTGTTTTTACAAATAGAGAACATACATCAGGTACAAGATCTTACACACCTTATTTGCATATTTGCACGTACACATGATAACAACTCGTTTACACGATAGCAACACGTACACACGATAACAACTCGTACACATGATAACAACTCGTACAAATGATAACAACACGTACACATGATAACAACTCGTTTACACGATAACAACTCGTACACATGATAACAACACGTACACACGTTAACAACACGTACACATAATAACAACTCGTACACATGATAACAACACGTACACATGATAACAACTCGTTCACACGATAGCAACTCGTACACATGATAACAACACGTACACACGTTAACAACACGTACACATAATAACAACTCGTACACATGATAACAACACGTACACATGATAACAA